TGAATGTAGGCAAAGGTCTTAAAAACTTCTAGGACAGGTCTGCTGGTGCAGTCCAGTTGCATTGGACTTGCCAGTCCAGAACTCCAAACCCAAGGCACTGTGGCACGCTGCTTCCAGCACTATTTGCAACACTTCCTCTCCCTGCCAAACTTAATTTTACACTGCATTAGGCTCTTCAAGGCATAATTTGAGCAGACCAAATGCTGAGATGAGAAGCAAATGGCATTTCTCAATGAATAAAATAGGGAAAAAGTAAAAGAAAATTCCTGTGTTCTTAGACAAGCTCACTATCTTCCACACAGCTCAACAGCAGCTAAATTCCTTTTGCAGCTTTTCCCCGGAGTTGCTCTGATGCCCTGTATGCCCTGCTTCCCATTCCTGTTTCTCAGGGGACGGTCACAAATGTACCTGTAAGGTGCCGGTTAAAAAGTTGTCCTGGGAGACAATGTCCACAAAAAAATCTGCTGGGATTTCGTTGAGCTGGTGATACAGCACAGAAATGAGATTGATGTAAAGGTCTTGGTACTTCCCTATGGCGTCTTCAGATCGGCACAGGATGTCTAGGAGTCTTTTCCAGTGCTCAAAGGCGTCGTACACATTCCCAATCAGGAAGCAAATGAAAGCAAACTGCAGCTCACCTGTGTTGATTCAGAAAACAAAACACACATAAGACTGAAAGATATCCAAGGTATGTGTCCTCCCCAAAGCTCTCTAAATGATTGCCAAGTGCTGGTTTGACTTTTGCATATACATCCTGCCAGCAGTGATTGATACTCTAAACACTGACCATTTGCTGATGCTCTGCTCTTCAAAGCAGAACAGGGCAGGTCACCTGTAACTGTGGTTATCATCACTGTAGAGGGACTTCACAAATCCAAACAATGAGCTAGACCTTGCTATTATTTTGTGAGCATTCAGTCCTCCTGAGCCTGGGTATCCAGAGCCACAGCGGACTGCAAACACCACTGCCGTGGAACACTGAGCAGTAGATTCACAGATGTGTTTGCCTTGTGGAATTAAGACTCACAGTCCATCTTACTGGATGCTTGGCATCAGCTATTTTGCCCCTGTTTCCTACGGTAACTTATTGTTTATTCTACAGTTGTCTTTGATAATTTTGAAAAAGAAAAAATTGTATAACATTAATAGAGAAAAAACAGAAGGGAAAAACAAAGGCTTGTAGCTCAGTAGTCTCAGCTGGAAAGCTGGGAGGGCTTCTCCCTCCATCCTATCACAAAACCAAACCCACTCCAGGACCTCCACAGCTTTAGTACTTATTTGTATCACCGATCGTATAAAAGGCTGGGGAGTAGTTGAGCCCTGGGAGATGCAGCCCTGGCTGAGGGGGTTTGGTCTCCCCATTGCAGCACTGGCGCAGCCCAGATGCTGCCATGGCAAGTCTCTGGCAGCACACGGAGCAAAGGCAGGGTATACACCTGCACACAGACAGCACAGAGAGCACGCAGAGTACACACGTCTGAGCTGCCACTGTACCAGCTTGGTAGGGACCGGTCGCTGCACTGGGAACCACTGGCTAGAAGACTTGTACCCCCTCCCCACACATCAGGAACAAGGATCTGGGGGTGTTCAGCCCCACTCAGCACTCCCAGGACTCTGTAAGACCTGTCCTCAAGAGATCAACTTAACAGGCAAAGTGACAGGCTGGTACCAGATGACAGACCTGTGACTGCTGCTTTTGACTTAACCTGAGGCAATCTGGGCTCCAAGAGCAGCACCCAGAAGCCAGAGGCGAGCTGACAGCTCCTGACCCCCAGCATCACATCTTTACACCACAGAGTCTTAGAACAGACTCACAGAACGTCCTGAGCTGGACAGGAATCTCAAGGATCATTGAGTCCAACTCCCCTTCCTTCACAGGATGCCCCAACAATCCCACCATGTGGCAGAGAGTGTTGTCCAAACACCGCTCAAGCCTGAGGCCATGAGCACTGCCCTGGGGACCCTGTTCCAGTGCTCGACCACCCTCTGGGGGAAGAATCTTCTCCTAATATCTACCCTAAACCTCCCTTGACACAGCCCCAGCCATCCCCTAAGATCCTGCCACCAATCACAGAGAGCAGAGATCGATGCTGCCCCTTTGCCCCTTGTGAAGAAGCTACAGACCCCAGTGAGGTCTCTTCTTCAGGCAACTGGAACAGGCCCTATTGCTGCTAAGAACTACACCAACTTCTGTCCTGCAACAAAGAGAGATGCCTCAGGGCACCAGGGAACAGGCACAGGTTTCATCCCAGAGCTCTCATTTCAGTCACAGAACGGTTGGAAGGGACCACAGTGGCGCATCTGGTCCAACCTCCCTGCTCAAGCAGGGTCAGCCCACAGCACAGAATTGTGTCCAAATGGGTCTGGAATATCTCCTGTGAGGGAGACTCCATAACCTCTCTGGGTAATCTGTTTGTGTGCTGTCACCGCACAGGAAAGAAGTTCTTCTTCATATTCAGATGGAACTTCCTGGGTATTGGTTTCTGCCAGTTGCCTCGCATCTCACTGCTGGCAACCACCGAGGAGGGCCTGGCTCCACCCTCTTGGCACCCCTTAAGATATTTACATACAATAATGAGGTCGCCTCTCAGTCGTCTGTTCTTGAGGCTGAACAGGCTCAACTCCCTCAGCCTTCATGACTTTATACCCCTCAATGGGCTATAATCCAAACAGGGGTACAGATTAGGTCTGCCCTGGGCGGTGCTCACCGAGGAGCTCCAGCGGGCGGCCGGGATAGCGCTGCTCCATCACCCGCTCCAGGGCGTAGCTGAGGTCCATGCTGTGCCGGGTGATCTCCTCGGGAGTGGCCCCGTCGGGGTACAGCTGCCTGGGCAGCTCGGTGAAGCGGATGTGGGTGCCGGCCCGGGGCTGCATGCGGGGCAGCCTCGCCAGCCCCTCGGCGTAGCTCCGGCACTCGGCCCCGAGCGGCGGCCGGGGCTGCCCGGCGCGGTCCCTCGTGTGCCGCCCCGCCGGCTCCAGCAGCACCTCCGCGAAGGCGCAGATCTCGCCGCTCTCGGGCTGCAGCTGCTCCGCCGCCGCCTCGCTGATGAAGGAGGTCAGCGAGACCCACTTCTTCAGCGTCTCGTACGGGTACGGGCCCAGGAAGGAGTCCAGCTCCCGCAGGCTCTCCCGGAGCGCCTCGCCCTCCCCGGGGGGCTCCGGTCGCACCGCCTCGCCCGCGGGGTCCCAGCGCAGCAGCCGCACCTCGCGGCGCCGCAGGCTCAGGAAGCGGCCGGAGCGCGGCCCCGTGTCCCGCCCGCCGCCCGCCCTGCCCGCGCTGCAGTGCACGAAGTGCAGCCCCGGCGGGATCATCTTCACGCCACGGAACCGCGGCCCCACGGCCCAAGCGCTGTAGTCGATGCCGAACTCGGTGCCCTCGGGCACGTCCAGCACTACCACGGCCGCGCCCTCGAAGAAGAGCTGCCGGGCCAGCTCGGGGTCCGCCCGCAGGGCCGCCATGGCCGGGCCGGGCCGGGTAGGACGAGCCGCCAAAGCCACCGGACCCGGAGATGGAGCGGGCCCTTCCCGGAAATCCGGGGCGGTGGTTCCGGGCAGGGCGGTGGGAGGAGCCCTCGGCCTCCCCCGACCTTGGGGCCGGGACTGTGCGGCGCTCAGGGTGGAGGTGTCCAGTGAGCAGGGGCTCGTGTCCTCCCGGGGGCCCCCACTCGGCCCCGGCTCCGTCCCTGCCCCCCATCTATCTCCTTGCCCGGTCCCCTCTTCCCCCGGCTGGGTCCTTGTCCCCGTCGTCCATCTCCCTGCTTGGTTTCTGCCCCCCAGGCTCTGTCCCTGACCTTCCCGCTCACCCCCAGCCCGGTCCCTGTCCCCCTGTTCACCCTGGCTCGGTCCCTATCACTCCGTCTGTCCCTCGGCTCGGCTCCTCACCCCCCTGCCCCGTCCCTGTCCCGCCGCGTCCATCCCCAGCTCCCCTGCCCCGTGCTGTTCCACTTTGACCCCTTGAGCGTCCGTGTCTGAGGCTACTCCCCAGTGACCCGATGACCCCAAAGCGGGTCCCACTCCCCCAGCTGGCAGCCATTCCCCCTGTCCTCCCAGCCCTGCAGCGGGACGGACAGATAAGAGCCTGGGACTGATGGACCAGGAGCCCCACAGGACAGACACATGGGGACCCTTGCAGTGACACGCAGATCCCACAGCAGGATAGATCATCCCCACCACCTTGTTCTCCCTCCCAGGATGACAGAGTCAGTGTCCCCAAGAGCAGGGCAGCTCACACTGCCTCTGCATTTTGAGCAACCTCAAAAGCACCTTCACTGCCCCACAGGACTGTACGAGGGCAGCAGCCCCCACATGAAGCTGCTTCCAGCTCCACCAGCCACAATTCCCGACCTGGTGGCACCTTTGTCTGCCCTCAAGAGGCCCCATCTGCAGTGCTGCCTCCAGCTCTGGGGTCCTCAGCACAGGAGGAACATGAAATGATGGAGTGAATCCAGCGGAGGCTGGGGACATGTTCCCAGGGCTGGAGCCCCTCTGCTCTGGAGACAGGCTGGGAGAGCTGGGGGTGTTCACCTGGAGAAGGCTCCAGAGAGCTTAGAGCCCCTTCCAGTGCCTGAAAAGGCTCCAAGAGAGCTGAAGAGGGACTTTGGACAAGAGCCTGGAGTGACAAGGCAAGGGGCAATGGCTTCCCACTGCCAGAGGGCAGAGTTAGATGGGATATTGGGAAGAAATTCTTCCCTGTGAGGGTGGGGAGGCCCTGGCACAGGTTGCCCAGAGAAGCTGTGGCTGCCCCATCCTTGAAAGTATCCAAGGCCAGGTTGGACAGGGCTTGGAACAACCTGGTCTAGTGGAAGGTGTCCCTGCCCAAGGCAGGGGTTTGAACAAGATGAGTTTTAAGGTCCCTTCCGACCCAAACCATTTGAGGATTCTATGATTTTGTGATCTTCTCTTTATACAGAGTTCTGTATTTCCATGTGCAGTGATCCCAGCTGCAAGGTTCCCCTTCACTTCTGCATCTGAGTAGGAAAGAGTTCACTGAGGACCCAAGCTGATTTAGCATCAAACACATTTATTTCACTTTTATTGAATACAAGAACAATGAGCACACACGCATACACCACCGAGCACTGAAAAGGAGTATGACCAAAGGGGGAGAGGGAGAACAAGGGAAGAGAAAAGGAGAGTTAGTGAAGGAACAAGAGAGCATTGCAGTTGGTTGGTAAGGTGCTTCTCAAATAAAAATAAATATTATTATTGTTATTGTTATTATTATTCATGCAATCGCAGGCCACGTTCAGAATGAATTTGTGGGATTGGGTAAAAACAGGCACTCATGTCTCCCACCCCTTTCAACAGAAAGGCCCCTGGAAGAAAACAAGCAGTGACCAGCTATTAAAAACAGAGCGCAGTGATGGGTAGGCTGGAGCTGAGCATCAGAAAGCCATACCTCACCCAGAGAACAAACAGCGAGCTTTTTCTTTCCTTTTTTCCTTTTTTTTAAGAAAAGTTTTAGACACTGCCACCCATAAACGCTGTGGGAGCCAGGGGCTAGGTTTGCTCACTGCAAACAGAACTCACTTCAGTCCAAGCGCACATGAATCCTAACTGTGTAAGGCCTCTCATTTCCACAGGAACCTTCACTTTCCTGACTCTGCACAATGCCAAAAGCAATTCTTGAGGCTCCCAGTGGCCTTGGGGGAGTTGTGGACGTGTCCAAGGGCAATATCCAAGCTGGGTGGGCTCCTCCATGTCTAAAACACACTGTGTGCTGATGAACACCAGCACAGTGGGCAGACCACTGGCCATCCACCACCCCCTCACCCTCTGACAGTGCCATTGGTGGTCATGGCTGGCTTGGGTACATTGGAAAAACAACCAAGAGAAAAGTAGCCTATGCAACTGCTTTAACTCTTTTCAGGTTGGGGGTCTGCTCTCTAAAAGGAGCTGAAGGCGCTTGGCTGGAAGCTGGGGAAACCCTCAAGGGCTGGCAGCCCTACCTGCTTGTGGTCATGCCTTCCACGCTTGCAGGAGAAACCACTCTGCTAGGAGAACAGACTTCACAGGGACATCCTGGTTAGCAACTGGTCAGTCCAACTGCCAGGGAGCAGCTCCCACCGGGGACAGTGAGGGTGGTAAGCAGGATCTGTCATGGCATCCTCCAAGCTGTGGCCTGACAAAACATGCCTATTTCTGGGCACGATCTGTGTGAGGGGTAGGAGACTAAAGGCAAAATGGTGCAGAATCATGGGCCCTTCTGTTTCTGTAGGAGCTAGAGATGATTTCGAGAAGGAAATCCATTTATTTCCTTTCCTTTCTGGTTTTGGTTCTGAGTCTAAGCTAACTGCCTGGTTCACAGTGTACAGAGGCCCTGGGCTCGGTCCATGGTCCCCTTCCAAAGGCAGCCGTGGAGGGAGCCTGTGGCTGAAGGCTGAGCTGGGCCGAGCTGGGAGCAGCTCCACTGACACCTCGTCAACACACACCTGCTTATGCAGAGGGCCTGGGCTCTCCCATCCAGCCTGGGATGCTGCGGACGCTCTGCAGTGATGGACACAGTATGGTTCCTCCACTGCCCATTCCCAGGCAGGTTGGGGAAGGACTGCCACGGTCCTGCCATTGCTGTCCCCAGCCCAAGCGCCTCAGGCAGCCCTTGCCATCACACCTTAGGTATCATGGTAAACAGGGCAGAAACAGCCCTCTGCCTTCGACCCTACTACAAAGTTCAAGTAACTTCATTACTGGGATCCAGAAACAAAGCAAAACCACCCCCACCACTGGCATGGCTCAGTGGGCTGGAGGGGAGCGATGAACACAGTCCAGCTGATCCCATGGCTCTGGCTGGGGGCCAGGAGACAATTCTGCCAACAGCTGTTGCAGCTGGAGCCTCAACTCCCTTCCTTACCCCTCCAAGTCACTGCTGCCCCTCCAAATCTAACCACCATACACGCAGATCAGCTGGAGGGACATTCTTGTCCCTTGCCCTTTCACCTTCCCCCCACAACTAGCAGCAGCTGAAACCTTCTCAGTTCTCTTCTTGCAGGACTCAGAGTCCATGTGTGATCTGAGAGTCTCAAAATACACCAACCACAGTCAAAGAGTTAATAATTTAAAAATGTTGGCACTGTATTTACCAGCACTGTTGAATTATTTCAGCATTGTTCCCTCCCTCCCCCTTTGTTATATATAATAATATACATAACTTAAATGCACATCCATATGAAACCCCACAGGTTGCTCTTTAGAGATGAGAAACCATATACATATCATTTTCTTTGTTTGAAATGAAATCCGTTCCTAAATACCTTCAGAGAACAAGAGGTTGGACAAATGCACAGAGAAGATAAGGAAGGGCAGGGGAAGAGTTAACAGAACTCAAAAAAATGCAGAAGAACCAGCATGGAATGAGGAGAAGGGCAAAACAACACTTGTGAATTGGAAAATAACTCTATGGTCGTAAATTCAGTGTTTTTCTCTCTTCTTTCCAGAGGTGGGGAATGGTTTTGCTTCTGCTTGTGGTTTTTTACTTCAGTTTGCTTACTTCTTGCTTTGTTGCAAAGCAGTTTTTCTTTCCATTCAGTGTGCAACAAATGAACTCATGATTGTGTGTCCTTTAATGTAACATGCAAGATGGTGGCTTATTGTATTGTTACCGATATTATTGTTATTATTATTACTTTTTAAATCTTATTTGATCACCAATCCAGGAAATTCTTTAATTTATCTGCAGAGGGTTGACTTTGTTTGTTGGTGGTGTTTTTTGCTATTCATTTCCAGCATATAGCAGCAGTGCAAGGATGCATTTTGTTTCCTGTTTTTATATATATATATATATATATATGTATGTATATATATATATAATATATTTGCTATTCCTTTTTTAAAAATTTTTGTCTCTTCGTCATGAACATTGCAGCCAGGATGTCTATGTCTTGCTGACAAATCCAGCATGAAGGCTCCTTCTCCCCTGTTCTCCAGGTTGGAATACAGATGTTGACTTCAAGGAACATGTTGGTCAAGATTCCTGTACAAGGCAGATGGAAAGGACCAGTCATGGAGTGCCAATCCATGGAGCACAAATCCATAAGGCTCTTCTTTGTTTGAGGGCACTGGACAGTAACTGCAAACACTTGGGGTCACAGTTTGCACTTAATTAGCAGGAGCTCTGGTAATTAGCAGGCATTCAGTCACTGGGTTGGTGTTGGTGTATGGGGGTGATAAGGGGGAGTCACTGCTCCCTCACTTTAAGCCATTCAACTAAAACTGGGTGGCTCTCATGGGATGTGGGAGTGTCTGGGCTTGCTTGTCTGCACTATGGGACAGGACATACAATTAGGCAGCTCTCCTGACCTTCTCAGCTGCATTGGAGCTCTTTGCTTTTCCAGGCTTAAAAGCTGTCAGTTAAAATATTCATATGATAGAGAAACAGAAAATCCCATTTCCAAGGAGGCTCTCCAAATGCATCTGCACCCTGGCTGCTGCAGAGCCCCTCACACAGTTTTTGACAGTGAGGCTCCCTCTCCTCTCCACCATGCACCCCTGCCTCCCACTGCTCCGACATGGGGGTCTGGTGTCTGTGCCACCCCCGAGGAGCTGATGGAGGTTAATGGGGTCAGAGTGGAGGGTTTAGAGTGGGGCAGGACTCCCCAAGCTCTGAAGAAAAGTGTCTGGGGCTGTGACAGCTTTGGGGGCAACCTCAGGTACTACTGCCACCACCTGTGTGTGTAAAAACACAACCTGGGGATCTGAATGGGACTAAAACCTCTTTTTTGGAAATGCTTGTCTGATACTTCGGATTTTTTTGCAGAACCTTTAGCCAAGTTTCTCAGCCCATCCAAAAAGTTTCTGTCCCCTCTTTCCCTCCCTGCCCCAGGGGGACAAGCAGGTCCTTTCCTCTTTACATAAAAATGACTTTACGTAAAAATGTGAGCCCTGTGCTGAGCAGGAGAGCAAGGTGACTTTTGGTGGAATGGCACCAGCTTTCTAACCACAACCAGGTGGCCATGCCAGAGCCACCATGCCAAGAGCTGCCACTCAGTGCTGAGGGGCACCAACACCCGTGGCTGGTGGGGACCAGAGACATGTGAGCAGTTACCCTCCTTACCCAACAGATACAAATCACATTTGGCAGCTTCACTTACCTGAGGTTTCTTGTCCCTTTCCTCTGGAGAGGGATCTGTTTCTCTGTATACCACAGCTTTGGTTACCAGCATGTCAGGGTGCTGGAGTTTTGCCTCTTTGATTGCTAAAGCCAGTGCCTAGAAACCAGAAGGATGAAAGCATTTATCCTCACTCCCCTACAATTGGGTACCCTGACCGCAACCAGAAAGCAGCTGGAGCTGAGAGGGATCCCAAGGAGCTGAGCGGGATTCCAGGAGGATAAGGATGCAGGGGTTCAGAGCTGAACCCACAGCAGCCTGGCAGAAGAGGCTGGAGCCCAGCACTGATTGGGATCCCTCATGCGATGTCTTTCCCTTCCTGATTTTTCTGTAGAGATGGGCTGCATCCCAGGCTTCCTACTGAAGCCTGGGCAAAGGGACTCCAGCAAAACACTAGAAAAATCTACAAGAATTATCAAATTTATTATTATAATTCTAAAAATTATTTTAGATTCTTTTAATTACTTAATAGTTTTTCTTCTTAAGCAACAAATCCCAAAGGGTTAGGCCACAGGAAAACGACCCCACGGCCCTAGAGGTTTCTGTCAGTCTGTGTTATTTCATCGTGAAAGTGTGTCACTTTTTGTTCCTCTTTCACAGAGAGATTGCCTCTCAAAGAGACATCACCTGGAGTGAGACTGTGGTGAAAGAAAGAAAATACCTGGGTCACTTTGGAGTATTTCAACAAAGAAGGGGCACCTGGAAATGTTTTTTAAGACAATAAAAAGATGATGCCCTCAGTGGTCTCTGTGCTGGGATGTGACCTTTACTGCTGTGTCACTGTGGGAGCTGGGCTGGGTGTCACTGCACTCATGGGAACCTGCCCTGCTGGAAAAGTTCGGGGCCTCAAAAGGGTCAGTTTTTGGAGAGAAGGAGTAAAGAAGTATGTTTTGGGGTAACTCTGCTACATAAAAAGAATGCAGGAGCTTGTAATATTGTTAAATTGACCACGTGTCCAAGATGGTGATTTTAAACCTTTGTGTAACCCTTCTTGTTCCCATAAACCCCTCACTGTACCTGTGGAATGTCTGAGAGATAACTAGAAACTCATCTATTGGTTGTTAACCCCTTGTCATGATTGGTTGTTTGTAAGATGTCCTGTATTCTCACTGGTCACCCTGGGATCCCTCCAAAGGGCACTTAAACCGTTGTTAGATCAATAAAGCGCTCTTCGCCTCTCTTCGCTGCTGGACTCCCTGTGTGCTGTGTGGTCTCTGTCTCCTGGCATAGGGGCCTCCGCTGCCTGTCCCTGCCACGAGGGACGGGCGGAGGGGAGGCGATCTCAGCCCTGGAAACCTTCACAGAGCGGCCGGGAGTGACCCTCCAGAAAGCCCCCAAAACTGCAACAAGTATGAGCCAGAAGTAGAACTATGTGATACTGCATCTGGGGACAGCCACAGCTGGGCAAAGCTGGGTCGTCCTGCTCCTACCTGGTCCTGGTCCACATCTTCATCTCCTGTGATAATGATGCGCTTCTCTATCCGGGTCTCAGAAAATCCCCCTTTCACAGTCTGCACAAGGAGAAAGAAAGCACTCACCCCAGCTGTCCCACTAGCCAGCTCTGGGTGGGTGTAGCTATGCTCATGTGAGGAGGGACAACCCCAGCATCATCTTGGCAACTGACCCCATAATGGGAACTGACCCCATTATGGGAACTGGCCCCATAATTCAGCAGATCTGCTGAATTATCTGTCACTATCCGTGACTCAGTGCATGGTGAGAACTAGTGAGACACAGCTGGCCACAGGTGAGAGGAAGGAAACGGGTTGGGTGGCACACATCCTTCTGCTCAGGTGCCTCACTGAGCTTCTGCTGTCATTTATAAAATCACAGAACCATTTAGGTTGGCAAAGCCCTCTAAGATCATCTAGTTCAACCACCATCTCAGCATTGCCAAGGCCACCACTAACCCATGTCCCCAAGTGCCACAGCTACACATATTTTAAATTCCTCCAGGGATGATGACTCCACTACTGCCCTTGGCAGCCTGTTCCAGTGCCTGACCACCTTTCAGTGAAAAAAACTGCCATAATATCCAATCTAAACCATCCTGGTGTAACTTGAGGCCATTTCCTCTTGTCTTGTCACTTGTTGAATATGAATTGGCAGTGCCCTGGCAGCCATGAGGGCCAACTGTGTCCTGGAGGGCATCAGGCAAAGTATTGCCAGCCAATTGAGGGAGGGGATTGTAATGCTCTGCTCTGCTCTGCTCTGCTCTGCACTGGGGCGGCCTCACCTTGAATATTGTGTGCAGTTTTGGGCACTATAATATAAAAAGCCATTAGAGAGCATCCAAAGGAGACCATAAGGATGTTGAAGGGTCTTGAGGGGAAGCCATGTCAGGAATGACTGAGGTCACTTGGCTTGTTCAGCCTAGAGAAGAGGAGACTGAGGTCAGACCTCATTGGGGTCTTCAGCATCTTTCTGAGGGGCAGGTACTGATCTCTTCTCTCTCTGACCAGTGGCAGGGCCTGAGGGAGCAGCTGGAGCTACGTCAGGGGAGGTTTGGGCTGGATATCAGGAAAAAGTTTTTCACCCAGAGGGTGGTTTGGCACTGAACAGGCTCCCCAGGGCAGTGGCTGCGGCCCCAAGGCTGTGTGAGTTCAAGAAGCATTTGGACAACACTCTCAGGCACATGGTGGGATTGTTAGGGTGTTCCCCAGGAGCTGGACTTCACTGATCCTTGTGGGTGCCTCTAAGAAGAGCGTGTACTTAATTTGGGGATGAAATGGCCATGGGTGAGATCCTCTGCTGCAGCTTTGCCTCCTTCATTTTCCACCATCACTCCCCATGGCCCACACTGGGCTGCGTGCCCACCAGACACTTGGCTGTCCTTGCCTGCTGTCCCCTGTGGTCACACCTGGCTGGCTGGGACAGGCAGTGCACGGGGCTGGGCCAGGCACAGGGCACTCAGAGCGGGGCACTGTGCAGGCTCCCCATTCCCATGGGACAGCACACACACCTTTTCACTTGTAAGGAGGAGAAGGGCACTTTCTGCTGTACTAGTCACAGTATAAATCCACCCATCCTCTAATTCCAGTGGCTTTCAGGACCCTCCAGCTGCCCCCTCCGGAGCTGCTCTCACCTTGGTAACATGGGTGGTGGTGGAAGTGGACAGAGTTTCTGCAGTGGCACTGAATATGCTGGTGAGCATCTCCTTCCCAGCAGAGCCGCTGGAGATCTGTGGGACACAGAGCAGTGGGATTAGGAGACTGTCACAGGGGAGCCTCCTGAAGAAGACTGGGAATCAGAAGATTTTTGGCTGGCCTTGGGTGGCTCCACAGGACACCCAGGGCTAGGAGTATCGTATCCACTGCACCAGGGGCTGGGTATTTTTGGGGAAATATCCTTCTCAGGCAGATACTCAAGGTGTGTATCTGGCATAGGAAAAAGGCCACATGCCGAGGTCCCCTGCTGTCTTGCTCCCCATCCTTCTGAGCATCCTTCTGCTCTTCCCAGTGCCAACATATGAGCCAAGGGTGCCAGTGCTGGGAAGATGGGAAGGGGTCCTCACAGCCCCACAAGGCTGCCTTCCCCCACCCTCCCCTCAAGTCTTAGCCTGGCTGGTGGCACCATGTCCCCCCTCACCGGTGAGAGGGAGCGAAGCTCTGTGGTGGGAACGGCCCCTTTCCCAGCCTTGGTGCTGTGATCCTGAAAGAAGAGCAGATGGGCACGTTGGCTCAGACACAACATGGGGGCAAACATGGCAGGTCACCCTGCACAGACACTTCTTCTGGTGAGGCAGGGTCCCTCATAGCACAGCTGGCCCCAGTTGCCCCTGCTGGAGCAGAGGGACCCCAGGGGACAGCAGTTCCTCTGCCCCTCGAGAGGCCAGTCCCACTTACTGAGGTCACCAGTGCCGTCTCTGTGGTGCCAGCCTGGGCAGTGGCAGTGATGTCCCTGCTGCTCGGGGTGTCCCTGCTGCCTGGGGTGCCTCCGTCCACCTGCTGGGGCAAAGGAAACCAGGTGAGCTTGGAAGTGCCATGGAGTAGGTGACACTCACAGTGACAGTGTGGCTGTCCCTTGCTGCCAGAGGATGCCAGGGCAGACCATGAGGCCAGAGACACGTGCAATGCAGCTGATGGCTGTCACCCTCTGGAGATGTTCCCGTGTGCCAGCACTGCCCAGCAGCATGGCAGATGGGACCAGAGACACAGAAAATATCTCCGGGTGGGCTTTGGTTAGTGTTTTGGGGAATTTAGCAAGCCGAGGGTGAGCAGAGGCCCCCAACCACCCTATTCAGTCCCCCCCCGCTCCCAGCTGCCTGAGGTTTGGCACTGGGGAGCAGGGCCACAGAAGATGGAGCCACCACATCACCTGCACTGTGTCTGTGGTGCTAACCTGTTGGGGAATAGAGCCATCTGCTTCAGGCTTCTTCACACCCAGCCCCAGGCCGACCATCGCAGCATCTGTTTTTGGGGCTGATGGCTGCAGGAGAAACAGAGCGAGTCAGGCCCTGGGGCACAATGCCAACAGCTCTGAGTGCCCTGCCCATGGCAGGGGGTTTGAACAAGATGATCTCTAAGGTCCCTTCCAACCTAAACCATTCTGATTCTATGCTCTCTGTGCACCAGCCCCAACCAGCAGAGCAAACCTGTCACGCATATCTGACATCCTGCAAGTGTCCTACTGAGCCCTATCCTGCAAAGAGCAGGGGCCAGGCTGCTGCCCTGGGCAGACAGCCACCACCCACAGTGCCCTGTGACCCACACACCCCAAATGAGACCCGATGCTCTGTACCTGGGGTTTTCGGGGATTTTTTGGATAGATTTATAGAGACACCATGCGTTAGTTCAAACTAGTCTTCAAAAGGTAGGTGAGACCCACCAAATCAGTTTCACCCATGTGCTGCAGCTGGTTTATGATCTGCACCAGCTCTGGGAGGCTCTGGTTACACCTGGGGTGTCAGAGCCCCAGGGGAACAGAGACAGGCATCCACTACTTCCCCACTACAGGAAACCGGCACTACCAAGGGCACAGGGGATGCTTAGCCAGTGTTCAGCATTCCCAAGCCAGCTGCCCACACTGGCCATGGGGCATATGGAGCAGATCTCCCATGACTATGGCATCAGATGCTCTGCACAAGGTTTTAAGGCTGTCACAGAGAAAGCTCTGTCTAATTTTGCAGCTTTTCCCTGGTTCTAGCACCCTGGCAGCTCTGGACAGGACTAGGGACTTACCTGTCACAGCTGGAGTCTGCCCACAGGCTGACCAGGCAGAAAGTGGCTCTGGCCCAGCACAGAGCTAAGGCCACACTTCACTGAGCTGCAGTTGGCTTCACCATCCTCTCCCCGTGTGTACACTCATCTGCCACATGCATGCACATGCATTTTTGTTACCCCTGTTATAATCCCTCCCAGCACAGGAGTGACTCTCCAGGAGCTCTGATGTGACTCCCACAAGGCACTTGGTAAATCCCTCCCAGCCCCAGCACGACTAGAGGGGTTAGTGGGCACCACAAGGCTCTTCATTACACGAACCGGTCACTGAATTCATGCAAGACATGAGGCCAGTGTCAGTGGTTAGTGCCATGTGCCCTTCCCACGGCATGACATGCTGTTGTGGGGCAAGAGACAGGGCAGCCAAACACAGGGGACCAAGAGGTGACAGTGACTTCTCCTGGCTAGCAGATGCATGAAGCATGCAACAGAGCCATGCACCACAGACGCAGCATGCATTGGGGAAATACACCAGGCAGGAAACGGGGGTGTTTGGAAGCCAGCGTGCTCCTCCAAACCAGCTGGAAGTGCACTCCAGGGAGGCAATGCCAGGCACCAGGACAAGGAACACAGAGGCACGATGACACTGGGACAGTCCTGGTGAATGGTGTCCTTGTGTACCTCTAGATGGGAGACATCTGGGCTGGGCTGGGAGACCTTCTCCCTGCCTTTGACATCCTCTTCCTGTTCAGAAACTACTTTGTCAGTGTGCTGGAAGGAAACAAGGCCTTCATCTTCCATTTCACTCTTGTCCTTGTCCAGCTCGGGCAGGCTCCGTGAGATGTCCTCAAAGGCTGTGCCATGGAAGTCACTGATCACAGTGAAGTCCACCTCTGCTTCCAGGCTGGAGGTTGAGCTGACCGTGATGCTGGAGCACTTGCGCTCGATGGCCAGGTGGTTGTCCTTCAGGAAGACTGAGTCCTTCTCCTGGTCAGGCTCCTCATCGCCGGTGTCGCTCTCGGGGGCCCTGTGCCGAGGTGGTTTAGGTCTCTCCTCGGTGCCCTCCCTCACACCCGCTCTCTGAATGAGACACAATGTCAGAGAGAGACGGAGCCCATGAGCACCACGTGGCAGTGCTGGCAGTGCCAGCAGGGGCAGGGGAGCAGGAGGAGGAGGAAGGCTGCAGCAAACATCACAGAGTAGAGTCAAACACAACTCAAGCATGGAGACCGAAACCTTTCTGACAGCAGCGGTTTTGCAGCGGGATGGGGAGAGAAGGCTACTCAATTTGATTGTGCCAAAAGTCTATTGGCAATTAATCATCTCAAAAAGAAAGCTCGGCCAGCTTGGAGGCACATCAGTGCACCAGTGGAAGCAGATGGATGCAAAACAATGGGTCTGTTGGGAGACACTCAGGAAGAGCTCAGATGCTGGGGCTATTGTATGTCAGTGACTCAAAAAAACAAATGAGGGAAAGAAAGAGAAAAGAGTTTGAAAGAAAAGGGCCCATCAGCCAGGCATAGTGAGGGAGAAGCAAAGTAGTGTGCCAATTCCACTGAACATCCACTTGGCTCTGCAGAGCATCACCCCAGGGTGAAGACCAGCCCCACCGAAGCTGCCCACCAGCTGTCCTGGGGTGAGTCTTCCCCACCGATACCACGTCCCCCTCCAAAGGCCTCAGGTGAGTCTCAGGGGTGACCTGACTGAGTGTCTGGTCAGTGTAATTGACAGTATGGTCAGAGCCAAGGGATGTCCTCCCTCTATCAGTTCTACTCTAGACATAGACATACCTCTCAACTCCACCATCAGAGGGTATGTATCCCCTCATCACGCTTTGCCATGAAGCCATGGGAAATCTAGACCCATCTAGACCCAATTCTCCCTTAGGAACGCCTCTAAGCCCACTAATCCCAGTGGAAACCCACCTTCTGACCTTGGTTCCAAATGTCTGTAGCCAGAGCTATCTCCCCCATGGGCCAGGCTGTGCTGGCACACCCTTCCCTCAGCACAGCTGGGAGGTTGAGAGGTATGAGAAACAGGGTGTCCAAGAGCCCCAGGAGGAATACGCAGACACAATCACGTGTGTGTGTGTGTCTCTATCAATACACACAGAACAGCCCTGCAACAGGAGCAGAGCTGGCAGCACAGCCCTCGGTTGCGCGGGGGGAGCACTCATACTGCAGGGAGAAGCACTTAATAAAACAGCACTGAGACCTGGGAGACCACTGGAACAGCAGTTTTTAAATTCTCTTCTTTCAGGCTGGATTTTACTGATGGGTCAGACAAATCCTTTTCTTCCCCATTTGGTTCCTGAAATTTGCTCTGGATTAGAGAAAAGGGTTAGTTGTAAGGAAATGAACTCTGCAGGAGCTGATCTAGTGCCCACAAGAACAAGGAAAGCTACTTCATCACCCAGCCACCAGCTTGCTGAAGACAGGGAAGGGTGGGGAGGCTGGTGAGCCAAGCAAGAAGGGGTATCAACGTAGGAAATGCAAGGGTGAAGCTGAAAGCGTGGACACGCTGCTGCCGAGGGGTGCGTGCCCGTGACAGTCGCAGCTCCTTCAGCCACCCACCGTTGCCCTTTTCGGGTCCTGGACATGAAGCTTGGGTGCCTGCTCTTGGGTTTAGTGAGCGGCATTCTCCAGGGAGCCAAAATGTTCAGGGATCGCAAAACAAAAGCTGATGAACCAACTGGGCAGCGGGTCTGCATGCAGCCAGTAAGCCTGACCACACACACAGACAGAAAGGACAGGGATGCAAAGCGCCTGCTGTCAGTCAATGGATGTGTGAGGAGCCACTGGACATGGTCAGAGAGCCACAAAACATGCGCATGAACGTCCTGTTCAGACAGTTCATTGGAGTTACCATGGCCTCAGCCAGGGTGAGCTCGCAGCCAGAGTCGGGGGAGGCCAGATCAGCATTGTCTTCTTCATGCTCCAGATCAACAGAGACATCTTCCTTCGGGGAGTGAGGCTGGGAGATGTCTCCTGAACCAGCCCCTTGCCCAAGGGCCAAGGAGCTCACACTGGACACGGGTTCCACCGCTGGTGGTGAGGCGAGGCAGGTGCTCAAAGGCATGTCCCGTGCCAGAGCTGTCTTCCCTTTCGCTTTCGCTGATGTCCCAGCTTCAGGCACACGCTCTTGTCCCTCCTGGGCCTCCCTTCGCTCCACTTCACTTTGCTCGAACAACTTTATCTTGGAGGCCACAGAGGTTTTCCTGTAGCTCTTGCTGTCCTCCCAGCTTCCTGGGGCCACGTTGACATCTCTGTGCTCCTGGGACACAGCTCCTGCCTGCCCAGCCACAGATACCAACGACTCAGGCTCTGTTTGATGTGTCCCATCCCTCACTTGCAGCTCTCCCTCACCTTCATCCACCAAGGCAGAGAGCCGGAACGTCTCACTTCCTTGGCACAATCCTAATACAGGGGACTGGAAGTGTGAGACATCAGCAGCTTCTTTGGGAATAGACTCATTCTGCAGTGGCTGCTCCGGAGCCAGGTCACTGGCCCTGGTGGTTTCTCCTACTGTTGGGCTCTTGCCCTGCAGATCTTGTGCCACACTAAACTCTGAGTCCCAGTGTGACTCCTGTGTTTTGGGATCGGCAACGTGGAACAGCTCCCCAGCCACGGAACCCTCTCGGGGCAGGTCTCTCATGATGGCCTCTGTCTGTTTTTCTGGTTCTTCTGCTTGGGGGGGCAGCTCTTTCACACCAGGCCTGTTATCTTGGGGCAGTTCTTCCATCCGACAGCCTTCATCTCCAGTCAGCTTCCCTGATGTGGGCCCCAAACCCGGGAAGAACTCTTTTATCATGGGCTTCTCCTCCTGCAGTGGCATTTTGGAGCCAGGGATTTTGCTCTGTGCTGTGGCAGGGTCCATGTCCTGGGCCACCTCCCAGGTGGCTGTGTCTCTGACCTGGATTGACTCTGCTGCAATATCTCTGGTTTGGGGTGGTTCTGCTGCACTGAGACTTGTCCCTTGGTGTGGTTTCCATGAGGTAAATCCTATATCTTGGTGTTGTTTTGCAGATTCAGGATCAGTTTCCCTGGGTAGGGCCACCTCCACAGAGGGGCTAACATCCTTGGGCATGCCCACTCCTCTCACAGGGCTGGTGTTCTGAAACAGCTCTGTGCCCTCAGACTTGGTACCTGGAGCTGAATCCACAGGGACAGGGCTGGATTGCTGGGGAAAGGGTGGAGGGGCAGGAGCACTGGGTTTATCTCCCTCCAACCCCACAGCATGGCCTGGCCAAGACACAGCTGAGGGAGGTGACTTGGCCTCTATCTCTTCCATCTGAAGAACCACTCTGGCACTTTTCTCCTTGTCACCATCTGCTCCCAAGAGCTCCTCCTCAGCTGTGCAGGTGTCAGAGCACTGTGCTGGGCTCCCTCTGTGCTCCTTAGCCCCGTGGCCATCCCCTGCCAGGCCACGTGACTTTAGGCCTCCCACTGGGCTCTGCAGCTCTGTCTCCTCTGGTCCCACCTCCTGAACACATGGCAGGGCTTCACTTCCTGCAGGTGCCCCACAGCTGGGCACCCCAGCAGATGCTTTCTCTGGCTGCAGGGACAACTCTTTCTCCCACCGCGAGATGGTGTGTCCCACCAGGCTGGTCCTGTCATAGCCCATCCTGGGCTGCTCTGGTGCTCCAGTAGGTTTTCCAGACACTGCCTTGTGTTGGTGACTTGCTGAAGAAGGGGGTTGGAACCCTTCTGCTGCTGGTGTTGCGTGCCCTGATTCCTCCCTAGACGTGTTCACTGTGGCTTCTGGTATTTCCTCCAAGCCAAGCCACCCACTAGTGTCCAAGACAAGTTGTGTTTTACTGTCCTTCTCCTCTCCCTCTGGATCTCCTAAGTAGATGATCCTCTGGGTTGCAGAAGTCTCTGAGCTGTCATCTCCAGCCTTCACTTTGGTTTTCAGGAGCTCTGTGGCTGTGCCTGGCACTCTGGCCTCCTGTTTCCTGGAGGCTGCAGAAGCACACTCCTTGGAGAGCACCTTGCCTTCTCCCTCGGGATGCTCTGGCCCTAAAATCTTGGCCCTTTGTCTCTCTTCAGGTTGTTGACAGGGCTTGGGCAGCCCCGGCTCACCACTGACTGCTCCTTTGCTCTGAGGCTTCTTCTCTGTGCTGTCAGTGGGCAGGTGTGCTGCTTCTGGGCTGCCTCTGCTTTCTTTCTCATAGATCTCATCCTCCCAGACAGACTCAAAATCCTCAGGACTGGCGATCATTTTGGCTCTCTTCCGGGTATCCGGGGCTGCAGCTGGGGGCTCTTTCTGGCCTGTCACTTCCTTGGTTTTCCCTACTGCCACCTCTACCTTCAACAGGCTCACACTCGTGTTCACCTCTGAGGTACCCACACGTGCTTCTTCCTTCTTGACTCCCAGAGCTTTCCTCAGAGCTACCGCTTCCAGCCTAGGGGCTTCTCTCTCTATAAATACCCAATGCTCCGAGCCCTGCATTGCAATTGGAGCAAGAAGAGTTAAATGCATCAGACACACCGCACCCAACTGCTGCTGGCACAAGTAGCACAGCTGGTCTGCCTCACACAGCAATGGCTACATCATTATTATTATAATTCTAATTAGTAGTATTAGTAGTAGTATTCTCAATGCCAGAGTTGAGGCAGGGTCTATACAAAGATCCTGGCAACTTGCTGATGGAGAGAGGGACTGAAAATAAGGGGCTGACGCTATGATAGGAAATTAGCCACTGTCCCCAGCTGGGACCCCCATTTTCAGCAGGCAATAGCAATTCCCAGGGGTAAGATTTCATTGGAAGCAAGGGTCTATGTTTTGGGTAGCTTCACTCTCAGCTTCGCCCACGTGCCCCAAGAATATGTCAGACTGCCAAGAGCATGAACATTTAGCCATCAGAAAGGCCCTTTCCCCTTCCTACCAGATGCTGCAGCTCAGATTCCCCCCAAAGTCCATCCCTCCTTTCCAGCTGATCAGGGACATCTCAGAAGCCATAACTGAGTAGAGGTTTCCAGCAATGCTGAAACCAAGCAGTTCAGAAAATGTAACCTGTAAAAGGTTACCTGTCAAGTGTAAAGGACCGTGGGCTTGGCAGATGAGACAGGTATGGGGGCTGCAGCAAGGACCAAGCAAAGGCCATGGAGCATCCTGCAGCATGGACACACGGCAGGAATGTGGCACACCACACCATGTATCTGTGCTGCTGGTGGGGGGACGCTAGGTCACCACTGCTATGGACACCTTGTACATCCCACATTTGTCCTGTAGGTCAACTGAAGGCTTCAGGAGTGCCAAGAATGACACACTGTTAAAATCCAGCCACTTCTGGAACAGCAGGTAGAAAATAAACCACAGGAATATAGTGGCAGGAGAATGTGTGCACCATGAGGCAGCCCAGCGACCTCCGCAGATGCCTCGGGGAACACACACAGGGGGCAATGCTGGGGGCTCACCATGGGGCTGGCACTGCCCATGGCACAGCCTGCAGCAGAGGCCCTTGGGGGCACCAGGATGCGCTCCCAGGGAGGGGTCTGGCTGCCCACTCCCTGCTCAAATCAGGAACAATAATCCATGGAAATGTGAGCCATGCCCCAGGCAGGGGGGTCAGGAAGAATGTCTGGAGCAGTTGCACCAAAATGGAAACCTAGTGACTGATACTGGATAACGGGAAACGCAGGGGCAGAGGGGAGCAGAGCCAGAGGGAAGGTAAGAGAAGATAACATCAGAAGAGAAAGAAGGAAAACCAGATACTAGTGGTAGGGCTTCCACAAGGAAAGAGGTGAAAGCCCCTGGCAGAAAAATGCCATTCCAGCTCCTGCCTTCTTTACCAGCCGCCAAAGGAAGCACAGATCCCTCAGCAGTGCCCCAGGTCTTGCCCCGCAGCAACCTGCAACAGCCCCTCTGCCTGTCCCTGTGCCCTGGGCTTTGCCAAGAACCTGGCAGCCCCTGAAAATCCCCGAGTGCCTGCAGAGAAGCACGCAGGGGACTGTGCTGGGGTACAGCCCGCTAGCCCCCAAGAAAACACCCAGCCCTGAGGGCAGGGAGGTGCTGGCTCCTTGCAGTGCCAGGATAGGCATGAGGTTGGCACTGTGCACTACCAGCTGTGCCCCTCACAGGGCAGGGAGGGCACCCTCCTCCACTAGTGGCAGATTGATCCTTCCCACAGACTCTGCCATGGCAACTGCACCCTGCCTGGCCAGGCCACCCTGCTGAGCAGCCAGGTCTGAAGCAGACCCATCCCCCCCACCTCCCCACAGCATCATTTGCACCAGCCTCTCCGATATCCCATCACGGTGCGCTCTCAAGCACCATCTGCTCTCCTGGTCCCTTCCTCCAGACCTGCCTCCAATGCAGTTTTTGCTTCTTCTTAGTCCATGGAAATCACAATAGAGCCTGTCAGTGCCTGCCACAAGCACCAGGCTGCACATTGAATGTTCACAGCCGGGTCTGACCTGTAACAGCAGCATCATCCCTAATTGGGCAGCTTGCTGGGCTGCTGGAATGCCCAGGCTGGCCTCTGGTATTCCCTTATCACATCCTCCTGTTCAGCAGCAATGCTTATGGGCAACTCAGCCGGGAGACTGCTCACTTTCCTGAGGGTGCAGCAGTTTCTCTCCTGCTCCTGCCCTGTGTTCCCATTGCTGAACCCTGTCTCAGTCAGGACAAGGATGGACATATTGTGGGCACACATACAAATTTCCTCAGCAAAGCCCTCTCATGCCTCTTCTCTAGCTGCAAACCAGTCTTTTGGAGGAGACCTTCCCTGGGCAGAGATGAATTTCTTTGAGCTCCTTCTGAGTTAAGGACTGAGACAGATGTTGTAGATCAAAACCTCTGCTGAAGCCTGGAACAGTGTCTTCATCCATGACAGCACCTCTTCACCAGTAAGGAAAACCCCAAAGCTTCAGATTTATTTCAAACCAGCTTCCTTCTCCTCAGACTCTGGGATAAGCACAGCCCAGTCCAAGGGAACAGTCAGGTACTCTGTGGGGTGAGGCAGCAGTTGACTGAACTCTGCTCTAGAGGGCTTAATGCCAGCTCTGGCCACAGCTCTGGTTCCACAGTTTGTGGCAGCCCTTGTGTCTCCAGAGCCTGAGGACTCGTGGAGCAAATATGTGGTTACTTGGACATGTCCTCCAGGAAAGCAGAGAACTTGTGGAGCTCTGGAGGTCAGTCGGCTGGCTAGACAGAGTATGTGACAAGGCAGAGCTGAGGTTCAGAAGTGATGATGCCGGGAAGGGTCTACCTGTAGACCAACCTTGACTTCCCAAGGGATAATTTACTTTCACACTTCCCTGCCCTCTCTCCCCCCAGCTCATCTGCTCTAGGAACAGAAAGACAATTCCTACTGTGGCCTGTGCATCACAGGAGAGCAAGCTGATAGAGTGGAAAGAGGTGATAATCAGGGAGCAGAGACAGTCTTTGTCCCTGCCAATGAGAGCCACAACCTAGCAGAGCCCAGGGCACGCAGGAGGCTTCTCCCTTCAGATCTTTCAATGTCTCTTCTGTTCTTTGCTCTCGGGAAGTCTCAGCTCACCCAAGAGGAAAGCACAAGCCTTGTGGCAAGAATGAGGGAATCTGAGATGCTGAGACAACACATGGGGTTGCTTTATCACCTAAAGCTGGAGAGGCTCCTGGCGCCTCACAGTGCAGCATTCCAGTCCTCCAGCAGCAGTGGGGACAGAGGGATGGACAGAAGAGTCAACACGTATGGCTAGGGGTGACAGACCATTTAATCTCAGAGGGCCTGAAGCCCATGGACACTGAGGGACTTTCTGGCTGTCATGAGAGCTTCGAGCTCTGCAGATGTGCTGTCCTCATGCCATCCCCTCTCGGGGCCATGAATTCCCCATGGAGACCACTGGCCAGGGGAGGACAAGTTCCCACATGAACCTCAAATCAAATGCTGAGTCTCAGCCACTGATGCTTGGAGAGAAATCACCGGTGAGGCCACCATGGCACCAGCAGATGAATACCTGTCACCTCAAGGGTCTCCGGGGAACAGAGGACAAGACTCTGAATCCAGAAATGTGTGTGCACCTCACTTCTGATGTTTCTGTCCTCCAGCTCTGAAATACTGGCACACAGAGAGTGCCAGCAATGACCAGGAGACACTGCTGCAGAGCCCCTACTGAAGTCCAAGGCTGTGTCCAAGCCTCCCTCACACCCATCCTGTCTCCTAGGGACTGCTCCAGTCAGCCCAGATTCAGGCTCTTGCCCACGCTGGCAATTTCTGCACAGGCAGTGGGAGATGACAGGGAGCAAGAGTGCACACAGCCTTGCCCCTGCCTCATCTGCCCCCCTCCCCCATGCTGCCTCTGCCACTCCCTGGGGTGCTCAGGCAGGACGTGCTCCCCAGGACCACTGGGCCAACCCCTGGGGCCTGTGGTCAATGCACCAGAACCAAGGTTCAAACACCAGCTTGCTCCTGCTCAGTGAAGGTACCACTCTTGGTCCCTGGAGGTCCAGGAAAACACCCCTTCATCTGAGATAAACCTGCACACAAGCAGTGCCAAGAGCCCATGCTCCTCACCCATGGGCACCACGTGAGGACTTTGACGGCAGCATGACCCTGCTGCGCACAGGCATGAATCCAACACACCTGATGCCCCCAGAGATGCCCTCTTTCAGGGTTCCTGGGCCCAGGGAATCCTAACTGCAGCCCAAGTGGAAGGAAAGCACAAGGGATTGCTAAGAACCACTTGAGGCTGCCTGCCTGGACCTGGAGCAGCCACCAACAGAGTGCCTGTGTCATTGGGTCACCCCTGCCTTGGGATCCTCAGCAGTGGGCTCCAGCACAGCCCCACACCCAGCAGGGCTGCACTAGGAGGTCTTTCCAGGGCCCCATCTCACAGCCCAGAGGGAACAGTCAGGGGAGCAGGTTTCACCAACAGCCCTGTCCTGTGAAGGGTCCTGCCTGTCACCAGAGAGGGGACCTACCCTGGGGGGCAGCAAACAGCTCAAGCTCTGCTAACAGGGCACGAGCCCCCTTGGCAGGTTGGGGACTCCCACACTGACGGGGGCAGAATGCGAAAGCAAGAAGTAGGGGGAGAAGAGGATAGTGAGAACCTCAGGAGAGGAGACAAGGCTTTTCTGCGTGAAAGACTCCATGCTTAGGGAAGTTCCATGCTCTGATGCAAAATCGTCTAGGATGTCCTCTTCCATCGTCTGTGCCAGCACGGAAACCCCAGCACCCATGGGGAGAGAGAGAGACAGAGAGAGACAGAGACAAAGAAAGAGAGAGAGAAAGAGAGAATTTGAGAAGGAATGAAGGAACAAAGGGTGGGTAGGTGGGTGGATGGATGGGCAGATAGATGGACAGAGGTCACAGCTGTGCCAGGTTTAGATGCTCCATTCACATCTCTGCACTGGATACATTTGATGGTAACAGAGATGTGGGGTGAAGTGCCTCTTCCTCTTCCCAGCCGATCATTTTGATGGGGGGGAGCACAAGCCCACCCTGCAGCCCTTGGTCTCTGGTCAGTGTTGGGCACCAGTAGGTACACAGGCATGTTCCGAATGCCCTGCAGAAAGACCCCAGCCCAGCCACCCACAGCGCCCTATGCCCTCCCCACAGCCCAGCCCCATGGCAAGGCTGTCCCGGGGTGGGAGGGCAGCCAGGGCAGAGCAGCCCCTGTGTGTGGCACCCACTCTGCCCAGAGGCACGCCACTACTGTGGGCACAGAGCTGGCTCTGGAGGGGAGAGCAAGGAGGAAGGGTTCCTGGTGGGGAGAGAGCATCCAGACTGGCAGTGGGGACACTCTTGCCACACACTGCCTGCACCAAGCCCAGCAGGACCCCAGGCTACAAAGAACCCAACTGTGCCACATCCACATCCCTCACGCAGCACTGGGGGCTTTATGCTGGCACCCCAATCCCAGCACCCTCCTATCACCCCCATGGTCCCAGTGCAAAGCCAGCAGGCAGAACACCCAAAGGGGAAGATGTGCATGTGGGATGCCAGCACGGCACCGCTCATCCTCCACCTCCTCAAACCACCCAGTTCCTGCTGCTGAGAGCACAACAGACAAGAGACCTCTGTGCAGGTGCCTCGTCCTACTCTGCTCAAGACACCCTCAGGCAGAAGCTGCACCACCACTGCCCTGCAGGCTGCTTGCTGGTGTGAGGAGTGAGGAAAACCCCATCTCATGGGCCAATGCCTTCCACATGGAAGCCCTTTTCCTTCCACAGTACTCTCAGGTACTCCCAAAACACCTCCAGAGGAAGAGCTGTTCAGTCCCTTGCAACACCCAGGCACACAGAGAGATTCCCACTGGCAGTGTAAAAATGGTTAGTGTGATACAAAACTTAGAGACACCCCTCCCTGCACCCTGTATCCCCAACATGTCACTCCCACCGTGCTTCCTTGGGGCAGCACAGGAGCAGAGCCCCAGAGCTGAGGGACATCTCCCCATGGGATCCTGATCCCCTCTGTAAGAGAAGCAGCAGAACAAACCTCACTGGCCTTTTCGGGTGTTCCCTTTGGCGTTTCATCCTCATGCTTGGGTGAGGAAGAGGCTGGTGAGGAAGGCAGCCTCCTGTCCCGGTCCCTGTGAACCAGTTTGCTGTTGGGCTCCTTCAGGGTCCGCTTCAGCTCATTGATGCTGGCCTGATGCTTCAGCAAAACATCCTCTGGCTTGTCTAAAAACTTGGGAAGGAGAGAGGAAGGGAGCAGTGATTAAAACAGCAGCCAAGGCCAAAGGGATGAGCAGGGGCACTGGGAGGGTTTGCTTCATGCTGGGCTAGAATTTAGTCTGAGTCGCCAAATGAGGAGCGTGTTGGAGACCTCTGGTCTGCAGGTCTCACTAGGAGGGGAAGCAGCTCTTTCACTGCAGGAAGCAGCAGAAAGGCAGCAGAGAGCCAAACACACATAGCAGGGGAAGGGCACAGCATGTCCTGGCAGCATCTCCAGGACTCCACGTCCTCCTGGCTGAGGACAAACTAAGCCTCCTGGAGAGGAGAGTGGGCTCTCCCTTGGGATCAGCAAGGGATGGGGCCCTGCTGGAAACACGAGCAGCCTCCTCTGCTCCTCTCTGATGCCAGGCTCAAAGGGAGCTCCAGGCTCTGTCCCAGCAGGGCAGGTGACTGACATTTCCAGCAGAGCCGTTTTGAAATGGGCCCTGCCACAGGGCTGGAGGTCAAGACCTGGACAGGGATGTCCAGCATGGATCCAAGCCTGGATCCCCATGGACCAGCCTGGGGTGGGGTGGGTCTGACCTGCTGTGGAGAGAGGACAGCTCAGAGTACTCAAGTGCAAGGTGGAGTTCAGGTGTTAGAGCAGGACATAGCGAGGGCCCAGGCTCCAGGGTGGCCCCCTCGTCCTGCCACAGAGGTGGGCAAACCAGCTCCGAGCAGGAACCCTGGTTTCTGCTTCCAACCCAAACTCAAACCTCTTCTGAGGTTTGAAAGGAGGCACCTGAATACCTCCCTAGTACCTTGTCAGCAACAGCCCAGAGACCCATTAGAGTCTTAGGAAAAAGCCCACCAAATTTCCCAGATCCTGAAGGCTCGGCACAACTCCGAGGAAAACTCCTGACCTGGACCCACGTGTGTGAGCCATGGAGAGCTCAGGTGTGCCCACCTCTGGGCTCAGGGTGTGCCGGGCCGGGGTGCAGCACATGCACATGCAGTGAGGAAGCAATGAGGTGGGCGGGGGGGGCTGGAACTGGTGCCCACTGCCCATTGCCCTGGCAGGGTCTGCCCTGTGGTGCTGAGCAGGACAGTGAGGCTGTGTGGTGCCAGTGTGGACAACCCCATCACATAGCCATGCTTGCTCCCATCAACAGCTGCAGCGAAGATCTACATCCCACTGTAACTGGAGGGGAAACTCCCAGGGAGCAACTGTGGATTTTAGGCCAGGATGAATCATTCCGGATGGGGCCACCCTGGACATGGCAGTCTGTGCAGGGAGGGCTCAGCTTCCCTGTTCTCTGCTCAGCCAGTTCTCAGGGTGGGCAGACACTGGGTGGGTGTCAGTGCTGGCCCCCCGAGGCAGCTCAGAGCCCCCTTGTCCCATGAGGGTGGGATGGCAGCCACAGGGCTGTAGGGAGCCCCAGCCTGGCTTTTGTGGGGAGTGGGGGGCTGCAGGAGAGTGGAGCCCCTGGGCAGGGCAGTGATGAGTCAGTTTGGGTCAGGCAAGAGCAGAGCATGGGTCAGGGTGGCAGCAGGAGCGATGGGACCAGCTGCACAGGAGACACAAGGCAAGGATATGGCAGGGTCAGTAACACGAACAGAAGCCAGGTCACCCTAATGGGCCAAGGGCTCTTCTGCCCCTGTGAGGGCTCTTGCTCACAGGTAGGATCAGGACCACCTTACTTAGTGGGATAGAAGATGCCACGTGCGTTAGGCTGATCCCCAGCTGTCTGTTCATCGGGCTCCACGAGCACCCAACCCCCTGCCCGGTGCATCTTGTATTCCAGTAAATAGGGTGACACATGGAGTTGTTTTGGGAAGGATGGACAATATGATGCACCAATGAGGACTAAGATACTCCAGACAGAGAATACCTCCTGCTTGTGCCTGGGGGTTGTTTCATGCTCCGGCTGGCAGCAAAGAGAGGGTTAAAAGTAACCAGCAGGTTACAAAGGAATTTGTCACAAACATCACAGTTAAGCTGATGGGGTGGTAGGGACACCCCCTCCCCTTGAAGTGAGGCTGAAATGGGCTGGGACAGCCCAAGGACCAGGGCAGGGAGTGGGTGGGCTGTGCAAGGGCAGTGGGTGGAATGAGCGGGCACCCATGTTCCTGGCCTACCTCCATCCCCATCCCTGTCCCAGAACTGGACTGTTCCCAGATCCAGCCCCGCCTGGGGATGAGCCTTGAGACCACCTGCAGGGCTCTGGGGAATCAGTTAAATCAAACCCCTTTGACCACCCCACTTCCACTGGTGGGGCCAAGAGCCATATCCCAGAGGTCCCACCAGCCTGGGGTTCAGCTGACACAGACAGGGCTGCAGAGGACTGTGCATGGAGGTGACCCTTCCTGCCTGCAGCCCAGCCCTGCTGCCTGTGCCTGGTTCCCTGTCTGCCTACCCCTCCATCCCCACCCTCCTCTGCCCACCTCGGCTGTACCTTCAGCTCCTTGATTTTCGTCGGGGTGGTCACTTCCTCATCCTCCATCTCAGACTGTCTCCTGCTGCCAAACTCACCGTCCTCGTCCTCCTTCTCACCCTCTGCCCCAGCATCATGATTCTCACTGACGGAGGCTGGACGAGAGAACTCTGCCCGTGGGGGACAGCCTGGGTCACTGCAAGCCCTGTCACCTCCATTCCTCCCTCATGCCCCCCTCCCCTGCCCCTACCCTGCCAGCTCTTCCCTGGGGATAAAGGAGCCCCAAATGCCCTGCAGCAGGGACAGATGGTCCCAGGTGTCCTAAGGCTCAGGGAGCTGGAGGGAAGGTGTCCCCACGCTGTCCAACCCCAGCCCTGCCACATCCCCCTGCTCACACACAATCCGAGCTACCATTTGGGGTGGGGACAGACCCTCTGCCATGGGGATGAGACTGGGGACAGTCCCCAGAAGGAACCCCAGTGCTGCTGTGACCCTGCTCAACTCAGTGAGGCAAAGTAGAACCAAGCCAAGCAGCACCCCACTGCTCCCGCCAGCAGACCAATCTCCCTCCCCCTCCCCAATTTGGGGCATACCTCCGTCAAGGCTGCGAGACATGGTGTACCGTTTGCTGGAGGAGCGCTCGAAGAAGGGAGCTGGGCGGTCGATGAGGGCACTGGCCTGTCGCGTCTGCGCCTGCGTCCGCCCACTGTACCGAAACTTGGAGCCCATCACCAGGAAGCCCTTGGGGGGTGGCTCTGGGGACACCAGCCTAGGGGTCAGAGGGGAAGAGGGGTGTCAGCAAACCCCAGCCAGGCCCCCCTGGCACTGTGCCCCACATGTACCCACTGCAACAGAAGCAGAAGCACGTCTGCCTCCCAGAAGGGAGCCCTGGAGAAGGTGTCCTCACCTGAAGAAGGTGTGATGCTCTATGCAGACCTTCCAGAGCCGCTTGGCTGAGCGGTGGTTGGGCAGCTTGAAGCCAATGGTGCTCTCAAACTGTTCATACTAGGGAGAGACAGATAGAGGCTGTTAAAGGCAGATCCTGCCCTAGGGGACATAATGGGATAGGACCTTGCCAAGCCCTCAGGCTCCCCTGGCAGGAGCCTTGACCACGCAAAAAAACCCCAAAAGTCTTCTTCAAAGCCATGCTGGGAAGGACCGTGTCACCCAGCAGGGTGATGGGATCACCACCTACACCTCCGGCCTAAGCACTTCCCTCTGCTGTAAATGGCTTATCAGTGCAAGATAAATTCCTCCAAGAAACAAAAGGTTTTACAGCTGTTTTGGTGTGAGGATATCACTCTTCCTTTCAGATGTGTTGTCATTCCAGCCTGCTGGAACACGTGGGTGGAAATGCATTCTCCCACCAGTGCACATAGAAGAGTGAAAATAAAGTCTGAAAATGAATGAAAAAATATCCTGATTTTTTTTTGGTGAAGAGATGTCAAAAATGGCCCTCAACTCCCCTTCCTGGGCAAACTCCCCACACCAGCAGGGTCATGGTATCTGTCAGGTAGGGATGGGAACCTGGGGTCCCTCAGGTGCTGAAGTCATGGAGCATAGACAAGAAAATCCACGCCACATGAGATGTGCTCTCCAGGCCCATTTATGTGGGACCTTGGGATAGACCCTGGAGCCAGGTGAGGACATCCCCACCATCAGCCCCAGTGCACACCATCAGCCCCAGTCCCACAGTACAAGCACCCTGCTGTGTCCCAGGGCTGCATGGGCACCTGGCACCCACCTCACCCGGGCGGATCTTGATGTAGAAGTTGCTCCTCTTGTAGGAAATTTTGAGGATCTTGGGCCAGGCGAAGCGGTTGATGCGCAGCCGGTCCCTGTAGATGAGGAGGCCATTGGCACAGACGCCCAGCATGATGTCAATTCCCTCTGAGTCCTGGAGGAGGGAAGGGGACAGGAGGGAACAGTTCAGTTAGTGAAGCAAGAGCCAGCCTGGCCAACAGTGCCATGCTCCCTCCCGCTGGGTGCTATGGGGGCCCTGAACCCCAGGCTGGTGGATCTCTGGAGCTCCTCTGGTCCAACATGGGGACACTCAGAGCCACCCAGAGCCCTGCTAGGAGAGTGTCCTTGCTGAGCCTTCACTGTGGGAGGAAAGGGTGGGCAGGAGGGGTGTGCAGGAGCAGGGTGGGATGGTGCTGACCACGGCTCTGGGAGTTCCATGGCCACATACCTTGGCATGGTGCAGGTCCACCCCATACATGGAGAGTTTCTTGGCATTCTCCAGGAAGTGGATCTCTGCTTCCCCGGGGGTCATTCCCCTGCAGAGAGACAGAGAGGGGTCACATGGCCAGGCACCCCACTAGGTGAGGGTCAGCTCTCCAGTGCCATCCCCTCTTGGAGCTCACCGGTAAGTCTTGTGCAGCTCCATGATGCGCTCCTCCAGCTCCCGTGTCTGGTTGGGGGCAAAGCGGAGCTCGCTGACATAGTTGCCCACATGCTCCTCAGTGTCATGGTCGCCCAGCTCGGCCTGGACGGCGTAAGAGCCCAGCAGGGCATGGGTGACAAAGGAGCAGGGCAGGCGCCCTGTGATGATGTCTGCACGGAGCTGCAGGCACAGGTAGTATCTGCAGGAGGGGGCAGAGGGTGAGAGGGGGGTGAGGGCATGTGCCCCCCGAGCAGGCTGGAGCTACCTGGGAGGGAGATGTGTTCCCCTCAAAGCAGGCCAGGGATCCACAGGAAGGAGGTTTGGGGTCCCCACCTTGTGATGTCCTCTGTGAGCTGGGCAGGGTCTGGAGGGTAGAACTTCACAGTGAAGGCAAAGTTCCAGGGCCCACCTAGAGAGGGAAGAGAGCAGTCAGGACAGCACCCATGAGGCTGCACACAGGGTACAGGAGCATCCATGCATCCCCTAAGCCTGGCACAAGGCAGGGATAGGGGGCTCCAGAAGCTTCTGGGAGCACAGCCCTTGGGACACCAGCACAACTTGGGTAATCCTTCCAAATGGCTGGGGAGAGAAAAGCATCACAACTTCAGAAGTCATCAGCTACTGATCATTGTCTCAGCATCACTGTCACAGCAAAAGCCTCCTGTGTCCCAGAAGATGACACCTTGGACTACAGCCCTTCTGCCATCCCAGCAATGCAACATCATGGGCAAAGGCTCCAGGACCTGTCCCAGCAAGGACCTCCACTTTTTCCCCTCTGTTCTCTCTGCTCAGGGCAAGTGGGGCCCTGTCTCAGCTCTGGTGGCAGAGATGGGGTCCTTTGCCTCCCAGTGCCTCTCATGAATAAGAGGAGAGGTGGGTAACACTTAGCTGAATGAGCATCAGCATCCCTGTCCCCAAGCCAGCTGCCAAAGGTCCTCTCTAGGGCAGGTGAGAAGGACAGCCACAGCTGAACTATCCTGGAGCTCCATGGGATACCCTAGGGCTGGGAAGGATGGACTCTCCCTGGGCACTTACTGCGGATCTGCTTCTTGATCTCCTTGGAAGGGTCCAACCAGTTCTGCAACAAGGAGACAGCTGGTCAGGGGGGTCCCACTATGCAAGGGGCAGCTGTAGAGGGACCCCGCCATGCTCACCTTCTGGCTGTCTGAGTCACAGAAGGTGAGGCCAAAGTAGTCCTTCTCCAGGAGGTTGAGGTGCTCACACACCATGTCAAAGAGGACCTGGCCTCGGGCGTGTTTCTGTCAGAGACATGGAGAGGCTGATGGTGAGCTGACTCAAGGGAGACCCTTCAGGTGACCCTCAAGAGGTGCTCTCATCTGGCAGTGGGTTTTACCATGCCCCATCCCTGCAGCCCTGGGATCACCTGGGCTTTGAACCAATTTGGGGACACTCGGGTGGTCCCAGGGCTGCAGGGATGGGCTGCTGGTAGTAGTAGTGGCGGGATCCCCAAGCAGAGCATGGACAAATGAGAACCACCAAGAGCCCAGGTCACATGCAGCAATGGAGGGCACCCTTGGTATAAACAAATCCCAGAATGGTTTGCACTGGAAGTGATCTTAAAGATTGTCTAGTTTCACCCCCCTGTCATGGGCAGGGACACCTTCCACTATACCAGGTCTAAGCCCTGTCCAACCCAGTCTTGAACACTTTGAGGGATGGGAACTGAATTCCCCAGATTTCCCTTTGTTACCAGTGGCAGTGAGGCCCAGACTCCCTCATGGACATTGAAGAGCAACCCTTTCCATGTGTGTATCTCCCCTGTTTCCAGTCTGGCAACTCCCATCTCCAATCTCTCCTCTCCAGGACATCCATTTACTGGAGCACCTTTACCAGGTGCCCCCTAGGATGGCAGCCCAGAACAGCAAGCAGCACAACACAGACTCCTGCTTGCCCTCCAAAGCTTTTCCAGCACTTGCCATCAACCTTCCTGGGTCTTCTCCCTCCTTCCGACTTGGGTTTGAAGGCAGGGGCTCACCCATGGCACATGCTGGGGTGTCACACTGAACAGATTTACTTCCCCATTTGATTTTGATTTAATTAAGGTTTAATTAAGACATAGGGAAAAGGCACAACTATTCCAACAGCATCTGCCAGAAAAAAGAAGAAACGCAGCGCTGGACTTTCTACCCCTAATCCTCTCCTCTGTGCCCTAGATGGCTTTTTTATAGAGCAGCACCTGTCTAAAAGTTGACCCCATCCTTGGGCAATGTGGAAAGGTGCATTTGCTCTGCTCTGCCAGCACTTGTGACTGAGATTCTCTTGGCATCCTCATTTGGTTGGCTAGTGCTCTGGGAAGAGCCAGGGGAAGGATGACCCCACTGGGGCTCATGAGTTGCCCTTGTGCCCTGCGAGCTCCCTGGGGTACTCTGCTCCTTTCCTTCTTTGGGAAGTTTTTTATCTTGCTGCCAACTCATTCCTCTACAGCTCTATGAACGATTTTATGACTGAAGTGACAGCCAGGGCTGCTGCAGCACAGAGATCAAAGGCTCTACTACCTGTGCCATGGGCAAGGACCCCACCCCCCGGCTTCCTCAGAGTGCTCCCTCCTCTCAGACAGCCACACTCCCTACGTTCATTAATCCCACTCCAGCTGAGACCTGGATCAGCCATGACCTGCATACAGATCCTCTCCATGCAGCCAGCTCTGAGCTACTGCCAGCAAACATCCGTGTGCAGAGCAAGGGCAAAGGTCTCCCTGGAAAAAGCTCTCGGACTTCTTCTTCTGAACAACCTCAGCTTTTTATTTTTAAGCAAAGTTGCTAGTCCCTACAAATGCCCCTCCCTCCCTCCGGGCTCATGTTGCAGGTTAGAGCAGCGCTGCCTTCCCAGCCTGCAGGCAGGAGACAGTGCTGAATGCTGGAGATGGGAACAGGTGCTCCCTCCATCCCTCATTGCAGCCAGTGCCAGGCACCCATCCCCCCCATCCCTCCCTGTGGTCCTGTCCTCTCCATCCCTCCCTGCAGTGAGACCCACTACCAGGAAACATACGCCCAGTGCGCACCCATGGACACTCGTGCATGCCCATGCCATGTGCCTGTGATGATGCCTAACGAGTGGGTGCCCTCAGATTCAGAGCAGGGTGCTGGACCACCTGCCTGTGCAACCTGCCCTGCCTGCATGCACAAGGATGCAGCCACAAGGATGTCCACCTGTGTTCACCCTCATGTGCACATGCACACACATGACACTACCTTCCCGTGTGCTCACCGGCCCACCAGCTCCATGGGGAGGGACAGCAAGGGAGAAAAAGATGAACACAGAGAAAATGGACACAAAACCACCTGGGGCAGCCAGGAGGGCCCCTGCATGTCAGCTCCTTGGCACCAACACATGTACCGTGGCGCACACAACACCTGCGCAAGTGTCCTCTGGAGGTGCCGCAGCCGGGCTGGCACCGGGTGTGTTGGTGCACACACTGTCAGGCAGAGCTCTACCCCCAGCCATTAAGTTTCCAATTTGGACATTGGTCTTTGTTGTGAATAGTTGCCAAATTTGTCTTTACTGGGCTGAAATTCCCTGCTGGGGTCTGTCTTTCCAGATTTTTTCCTCATGTTGAAATTTCAACTTAAATGGCTATTTCTGTGGATGCTTTTCCCTAGGAGAGGACAAAGCTACTTGGAAGAGCCCTGACATAGGGACTTGCTGGGCTGGGCAGAGTCCCTGGGCTGAGAGTGTCCCCTCCTTGGTGCTTGCACAGCCCCTCAAAGCCAAGACTCACCTCCACCTCACACTCATACTCGGAGGCATCAAGCAGGGTCACCCTGCACAGGGCACTCTTCACTTTCTTGGTGGTTTTCTGGGGTGACTTCTGGGTCTTGCTGGGGGTTGTTTTGTCAGAGAGCCCATCTGTCTCACTGTAGTCCTTGTCCTCCATGTCTGTGCCCTGGAACAGGGAAACACAGAAGGTTACCTGGCACCACTGCCAGTATGGACACACAAAGGGGGAAAGCCCTCCACAGCAGACAAAGCAGGGCAGCTGGTGGCAGGGAGGCTGATGACCTCTTGGTAGTCCCCAGTCAAGCCTAGTTTTCCCAACCCACACTGCCAGCACAAGCCAGGTCCCTGGAAAATGGCCACCTGGGGGTCAGTTCAGCACCCAAAACCTCCCTGCCCAACAGCTCAGCTCCCTGGCAGCTCTGCAGCCAACAGCGGGTGCAGCCGCTGCTCCCAGCCCTGCCGAGGGCAATTCAGTAGGGGACACGGGACCACTTGCTCCCTCCCTGTGCCCCGACCAGCACTGCCACTCCTAGCCTCATCAGCATTCCAGGCTGCCACACGGCTCCTTACACCTATCCTGCCCTGCCTGCAAGGAGTCGTGTGGGCAGTTTTGCAGGCAGCTGGCAGAGCTGGCTGAGGGGGCTGCCCTCTGGTACATTCCCCTCGGGTACAAGGGATGTGCCCACTTCACTGGGCTCCTGCAGCCCTCGCATCGCAGCAAGGCCACAGTGATGGACAGCAGTGAGCGGCGGCACATCCTCTCCTCTGCTGCGCCTCCCCCTCCTGCCTCTTGTGGCACCCGGCTGTCACCCACTCACTGGCTCCATATTTCGGGTATCAGACTGTGCCCCGGGCTTCTCATTGGTGTCGCTGTCCCGGCCGGCGGGGTTGGGGGCTGCGGTGGGGCCGTGGGCAGCCGCCTCCAGCTGCTGCTGCGGAGCCTCTTCCTGCGCATTCCTCACCTCCGACCCGGGGCCCGTCTCCGTCGTCATGGCTGCTGGTCACCCCGCCCTGCCACCGCCAGCCGAGGGAGAGATAGCAGGTGTCACTGGGGTCACACGGGCATGGAGGATGTTGGCTAGGCAGCCAGCAGCTGGGATGCCCTGGCTGCATGGGAGGCTTGGGACAAGCCCATCTCTGCCCCACTGCCTGCATGCACGGATTCGCTGCCAGACCCCAGCTCCCTGTCCACTCATGGATCTGATGCCATATCCCGGCTCCCTGTCCATGCACAGATCCATGGCCAGATCCCAGCTCCCTGGATACTCTGCCAGACCTCCGCTCCCTGTACATTCATGGATTTGCTGCCCAGTGACAGGGAGCCACCACAGGCAGGGCACAGCTCATTCCCCATCTCTGCGCTCATAGCGGGCAGTGAGCCTGCCCTGACCCCCTGCTCCCCCCAGCCCTGTGCCCATTGGTACCTTCACTCATGTCTTTTGGAGTGGGAGGAAAAAACAGGCTGTGAGTCAGGGGAAAGCCTGTACTGACGCAGGAAACGGCAAACATGGACAACTCCACAGATTGCATCCGGGCTGGCTGGTTTGTTCCCCTCTGGCCATCCCAGCAGCAGCAGCATGCTGGGTTCCCACGGTCAGCGTGGGACCCTGAGGAGTGGCGGGTTTCCTGCCTCCAGCCCCAGCTGTCTGTCCAGTGCATGATGCAAAAACAAACCCAGGGCCTGGAACAGCGAGGGGAAGGCAGTTTCCATGCTGGGATGCTCAGCAACATGGTCTCACCTGAGCAGAGCAGAGGGGCAGAATCCCACCCTCACCTGCTGCCCACAGTGTGGGATGAGCCCAGGACATGCCTGGTTTCTGGGTGCCAGCACATATGGCCAAGTCACATCCAATTTGTCACCCACCAGGACCTCTAAGTTCCTCTCCCCAGGGCTGCTCTCAACCCTGGTTGAACAGCATGAGGTTCACATGAGTTCACTCCTCCTGCCTGCCCAGGTCCCTCTGGATGCCTCATCCCTTCCCTCTGGATGCCACATCCCTGGTGAATCCACTGCACTGCTCAGGCTCAGTTTGGTGTCACCCACGGACTCGCTGACTTTCTGTTACAAAGCAAACCCATCCCACACCACAGCTCCTGTCCCTCCACTGCCCTTCAGGTGTCTTCAGCAGTGGGAAAATGTGAAACTTTACCCAGAAAAATGGCTAAAACTGTTTTCAGGGGTGAGAGGGAACAGAGAGGAGGTGATAGAGAAGACAGAGGAGTCAGCCTGTGCCTCCTGCCACCAGACTTGGCAGCACAGGAGCATCTGGGAGCATCCCCCTTCCATGCACAGAGGTCAGTGACACTGCTGCTGGCCATGCTGGCTTGTGTGGTCACCACAGAGGGATTCTGTTCACACCCCTGCCCCAGGGCCAAGCTCTCCAGGCCAAGACAGGCAGGACAACCTGCCACAGGCCCCTGAGCAGCATCAGCTCAGCTCCTCCTGACAGACCCCACTGCTCGGCCAAGGGTACCAGAAGCTTTCAAAGGTCACCAGTGGATTGGTTTTTTCCACAGAGGAAATAGGGCTGCTGTTTTTCCCCTGCAAATTCAAGCAGTTGTACACTCCCACCTCCAATCCCTGTGTGGATCATTCCTAAGTGCTTCTGCTTGGATCTCAGTGTGTGAATTTTTTAATCAATATGAAATCTCTAAAATGATAACCCCAAAAACAAACTGAATTTTTCACTCAAGGTTTCTAAACTTTCTTCCAAACTGCTTTTTCTCTGCAGTGGGAAGCACTGATCCCTGAGGAAATGAGGGCTTTTTTTAAGGGTAGTAGGCTAGGAATTCCTCCCATCTTGCCCAGCTAAACCTACTTTTGCATATTAAGCTCCAGTCCCAAACAAGGAGCCTGACCCAGGGACCCTGACTACCATCTGAAGCCAGTGAGAGCACAACACAGCAGTGCCAGGGCGGCAGAGCCCTGGTAAAGCAGCCTGGCAAACCCCTAGGGACCATCTCGCTGCTCCCACCGTGGCCTGGTTTCTCCTGCAACCCTGCTTTAGAACCCTGGCCACTGTCCCCTTTCCCTGGCCCCAGTAATTCCCACTGCATGCTCTTTCCTCCTGCAGTACCACCTGTCTCTGTGCCTGGGCAGAGACACAGGGCTCTGTACAGACACAGAGGAAACTTCAGCCCTGATGGATCCCAGCCTAGAAAGGGCCCATTGAGCCCATCTCTGTGGCATTGCTCCTGCCCCAGCAGTGTGGAACACAGGAGGGAGGATCAAGCCCCTCCAAACTTTGGAGGCTCAGGAGGAGCAGGGAGCCCCTCAGTCTCTCACCTTGCAGCCATGGTGGGGAAGGTCATTGCTGGGGTACAAGGGTCGAGGAGCTGCCCCAAGGGAGCTGGGGCTGGCAGTGGGGCAGTGGCCCTGGGCATGACACTACTGCAGCTGAGCCCTGCAGCTGCACAGCCCTGATGGAGGGGCCACACTGGCACTGCCACGCTCTGGGTACAGCCACAACGGCCGCATTCAGGGGCTGGTGGGTGTGTGGGTGTCACAGCCGAGTGGGCAGTGCTGCTGCTCAGGGTTCCCTGCCCACACTGGGGCTGAGTGGAGAGCCCAGGAGCACGGAACCAGGGCTCTGCCAGCACTGCCACTCACCCCAGTGCTGCTGGCAGCCAGGGGGCTCAGGGCTGGCTGGCACTGCGGGTCAGCGCCAGCCTGGCAGCACCAAGCCCCTGGGGATGGAGGCACCAGCCCCTAGAGCTCTGGTCAGCAGTAGGATGCTGCCACCCTCCATGGAAGCCTGTGTCTGGGCCTGTGGGAGAAGGACACCAAGGCCAACATTACCACCAGCACCCCAACCGTCCCCTGGGCCAGGTTGGGTGTGTTCAGCACCCTGAGGGCACCTTCAGGCTCTGAAGGGACCTGAGATTCACAGTGACACAACCAGTGCAACCTGCCTCGGCCCCTTCTCCCCATTTTTTCCCCCACGGCCTTTCCTGTGGCATTCAAGAGCTCCAGAAGCAGATGTTGGTTATCACAGGAGCAGCTCTGTGGCTCAGGCAGGAGCTGTCCCTGATGTGGAAGTGGCAAGCAAACCTCAGACAGCACGCAGCAGCCGTGGAGTGCTGCCCATCACACAGCACCTTCTGGATGCAGAACTCAGCTTCTGCTGCCCACCCCATGCAGGAGACTCCAGTGTGGGGGACCATGGGTTGAGAAAGGACACAGGTCCCAGCGTGCTGCCAAAGGGACAATTTCACTGACAATTTCCACCACAAACCTTTAAAAGAGGTTTACACCACAACTGCAGTCAACTGGGTAGAGATAAATAGAGACGCTGTCCCAAATAATTTCTTTCTAAATATTTCCCACAGAAGGAGCAGGACCCAATCCCGTTAGGTGTGAGCCTTTGCCAGGCTGTCCCAGCCATTCCCAGCACCTAGCCTGGCTCGTGCATGTCCCCTTGGGAGTGCAGCCAGGGCTGGAGCAGCTCCCATGCTGAGGCTGGCAGCTGCCTGGCAGCAGCTGGAGAAGGCAGGAGGCAGTGGGCACTGCCCCCCAGACCCGTCGCTGTGCAAGATGATGGCTGAAGGGTTCCTCTGCACCCGAGGGCCCCGGTGCCACACACCCAGTTTTCAGTAAGGCTAAGTTTTCAGCACAAGCCCAGTTTCCAGCAAGGGCTGGCTCAATTCTGCTGCTACTGGACTCCTACGGACCAACCCCTATAGGTTGTTCTCCTGAGGGGAAATGGCTGGAGCCAGATGGAGCTGCAGGCTACTGGAACAGGCACGTGGGAATGACGACTGCAAAAAAAGCCTTAGCAGGATCAGAGGCAGACCTGCTTGTCAAACCTGGAATCTCCTCCCATCATCTCCCTGCCTGCTCCTCCTTCCCTTGGTGTTTTCCTCTTCCTCCCCCTTCAAGCCAGAGTATGGATTCACAGCTTTCCCAGATGCTCTGCCCCAGCACTTCTACAGCACATCGTGGCTCCAGCCTCCAAAATGCTCTCCTCTCAGAACCTTCCCTTCCCTGCCATCTCCAAGCAGGTTTTGCTGCAGCCTGCTCTCCCCTTCCCCTGCCGAGTCACTCCCAGCAGCCAGGATGGCTTCCAAGTCTGAGCATCCCTCTTTGCTACTAGGCTCTTTTCTGCCCCCCCCCTCTGTCGAGGCTGCTGCCCATCCCTGAGGTTTAACCTCAGGCATCACAGTCCTAGGCAGACCCCAGCTCCATACTGAGTGCCTGAACTGGGCCTCGCAGGCTCCAGCACAACTAGGGTGCACAGAGCTGGATAACACCCCAGCACCCTCCTGCCTCACCACCACTGAGGGCCCACGGGGCTGATCTTGGGGGCAAAGCCCCCCACCATGCTGTGGGACAGATAGCTGACAGACAGAGATGGGGAGCACCCTGCAGGACTGGCAGTGGCTGTGTGACAAAGGCCAGGGGTCCAGGTACTTGCCAGTCCCCAAGAACAGAGCTGCTCACCAGGGCTGTGGCGCCCAGCACCCCTGATGGGGCAGGGGTTGAGCTGGCAGGGGACAGGCAGGACAGGAGCACAGGCAGTGCCTTTGCAGCCATCCTGGAAACCTGAGAGGAGCCTGGTGGGGAGTCCTGGGGATTCTCTGGGGACACAGAAAGAGCAAACAGGGAAAGTAGCCCCAAAGCCCTGGCAACATATGGCACCCTGAGCCCCACTGCCAATCCTGAGCCCTGTTGCCAACCTGAGGCCCACTGCCCCCCAGCACTTACCCCCCAGAACAGGCCTTGCAAATCCCCAAAATGCTCTGCAGTGAAGCCCAGCTCTCCTGTGAGGCTCTGCAGCAGGGCCAGAGAATCATATGAGCTGTTTATGATGAAGCGGGGGGATCAGAAACAGAGAGTATCCCCAGCTCCTGAAGAATTAACCCTGCTTATCCTCACCGGTGACTGACAGAGGCAGAGATCTGCAGTGCTTTGAGCAGTTTCCCAGCTTTAAAAGTGCCCTGTCATAGAATCACTAAGTTTGGAAAAGACCTCTAAGAGCAAGTCCAACCATCCCCCTCCCAGGCTCCAGGAC